TCCATTAAACCTCCTTTGAAGTTTAGTTATTGTAATCACCTCTCCTAAAAGTTTTTGATACGGTTGAAAATTGACCCTCTAGTTAGATTTCTTATAATCTTCTAAAAAAAACAAAAATATCTAAAATACTCATGTAATTACTGATGATGCTGGTTTATAAAAACAATACAAACTATATAAACAACAAAAATAAATAGAGAAGTTAAAGTTGCATCTTTAATTACATTTGAGTGATTATATGACGGGAAAATTTGGAAAATAAATCAATTTCAGAAAAGAGATTGGAAGGATTTGGACTAGTGATTCATATAAAGAGAAAATTTGAAAAATAAATATTTTGGTTATAAAAAACCCGCATGGGTATTTTGAACATTTTGATGTCTTTTCTTAAAAGATTCCAACAAAGGGGGGTCAACAACTTGAAACTAGTTAGGAAATTTAGGAGAGGTGATTAAAATTACCAAACTTCAAGGGAGGTTTCAGCAACAAATAGTAGACTGTTGAAACTTGAAACTTGGAAATGAGTTATTTGCACTTTTTTTCTCAAAACTATAGGGGAGGCTTTTGTTAGGGTCAAAACACAAAGGTGGTTTATAAAAATATTATAAGAGGATATTTTTTTTTATAATTTTACCTAATAATAGTATAAAAAATAATAACAAACCAATAAAATTAGCACTAAGATATAAAAAAAAATACAAAATTATCTAGAAAATAGGAAATTGTCACTCTCATTAAAGCGGAACTTATATTGTGATTGGATAAACCAAGCAGAACCCCCAAAAATAATACTTTAATTGAACTTAGATGGATACTATTTAATTAAAAATGTCATAGAAATAAAGTCCATGCGTCGTACGAGTCCTAACTAATCTTCACTTTATTTTCTGTAGCCGTAACTGCAATTTTCTCTCCCAAAGAGAGAAAGAGGGGAAATGAAAAAAGTGAGGAGAGAGAAGGAAATATATTTCTAATAAACAGTAAAGTTTTCGGAGGAGATTTTCGGTACACGTGTTCCATAGTAGTAAAATAATGGGACAACCATCGGTCCGTCCGTTATCTGACCCATTGGCGCTCCTGTTTCATGCCAATTGCCAAGTTCGCTGCATTGGATGTAACCCACTGGTGCTCTTATTTCATGCCAGCTGCCAAGTTCGCTTTATTGGATGTTGAATGATCCTAATAGTAGCTAAAAGTTTTATGTTAAACTCTGCACAATACATCGGAACGGAGATGTTCCCAGACTGATGTGATCTCCCAAGTTTGACATAAATGGTTGTTAGAACTTAGAGCTGTCAATTGCCTCTAATGCTGTCGTTGGACTGCTAAAGTTGATGTCACCACTTCACCAACTACACCAACACCATCCACCGATGTACCGATGTAGACAACTAATTCAGCACTGATCTCTTGACGATTAACTCATGAATCATGTCCTAAAGCCCTATGCGTGCCTCACTTTTAGAATCCATATTTACCCACATYACCTGCACCTAAATTTCTATGATCCAYTCAATCAGTTCTTGTTGTTTACCAACCGCAAGGAGAGAGCAAAAAGAGGGAAGTTGCTGGAGAAAAAAAATGTCAGCGAAGATACTCTAAGCAAGGTTTAAGACATGATTCAAGCCATGAAAATAGGGAATTATTTGGGCAATATTTGGCAGCCAAGTTACTAAGAAAAACAACCACTATAGCTGAACAAAACAACTTGATATTTTCGGATTCTTTTCATGAAAATATTGGCCAACATAATCTTTGGGTATTTTTAGGAGCTAAAACATTGTAAAAAAAATGTGCTTTTTTGTTTAAAATACCAGTTTGTTTTGTTATTGTGATCGCGAATGACCACTGTAGCTAAAAAATGAGTGAGGAAGGAGATATTGCGTCGGGTTTCGACAATTCAAACCGGATCCCAATCCATATCCATGTTTACATTAGTTATATTCAGTCTAGTCAATCAGTCTATGCCGTTTTCTAAGTCCAAACAACTCAGGCCCGACCAACTTGTCATTCATTCTATCAACTCAGGCCCAATTAACAATGGTTTGACCACACTTGTCAATTTAGGCCTAGTTAATAGTGGCCCGACCAACCCAAATTAGGGGTGTTCACAGGTCGGGTTGGGTCGATTTGAGTGATTTTCTTAAATCGATCTGACTTTGTCGGTTTACTTATTGATTAAATCGAAACTGACCAACACAAACATGAAGGGTCGGTTTATCGATTTAGTCAATTTTTAAATATATTTTAAACTGAAATATTTATATCAAAATATCTATTTATATTTAAGTTTAGTTTTTTATTTTTTATGCAAAATCAAAATATATATTTAATTCGATTAGTTTTCTTGTACAAAACTGATTTTTTTGTCAATATATATTTAAATTTATACAAAACTGAACTAAATATTGTACCATTAYATTATATTTGTATTGGTTTTGCATTTTTTTGTTTTTATCATAAGTAACCATAATAAAATATATCAACAWTTAACATATAAGGTAGGGACTAATTAGTGATTACATAAACAAAGTATCGGTTTGACTTTCACACATGAAAGCCGAAACTGAACTGAGTTGGTTTATTTTCTCACACAAACTGAAATCGATCGGTGGTTTTGAAAAACTGATCAACTCGGGTTGGGTTGGGCCAATTTGGTTGGTTTGACATTTAATGTGAGCACCCCTAACCCAAATTATTGTTAATAATTAATAATTCTAGAAATACTATTAATAATTATAAAAAAAATATTAACATGAACAATTTACCAAGATTTTTAGGAAAATATTATTAGCAAAACCATCATTATATTACTTCCTTTAAATTATGGAAAATTACCTATACTAATTATTTAACTAATCAATCAATATTAAAATTATCAAAATGGTTATTAAAATTAATCATCTATGATAATTAATATTATTCAAAAACCAACAATTGAATCAAGATAATTAGTTAMTGATAATTAATATTACATTAATAYATCTGATAATTTTTGATAATGATAATTCATATTAAAATTAATATTTCAGATAATTAATAGAAAATGAAAATTGATTTATGACAATTTTTATAACCACTCAAAATTATTTACTACAATATGTTTTATTTTCTATAATAATTATTTGAAATAGTAATTAATAATTATCAATTAACAACAATTATTAACAATTAATAGAAMTTATAAAAAAATATTCATGATAATAATTTTTAATAATAATATTGATAGTGATATTAATAATCCTTTGATAATATCTGATATTACTTACATTTTTATAAAAGTATTGATATTAATAGTAATTATTTATCTTTGAAAATATTAATAGCAATTAGTACTTATTAAATATTTATGAAAATTCTACAATTTCTAAAAATATTACCAATTTAATAATATATGAAAACTTGTTTAGTTAAATTATTTAGTTCATGTAAACTTGTTTGTCTTTTTGGTCGATAATTACTTTTATATCCCGCATCAATTTACCTAAAACCTAAACTGTTTGTTCCCAATAACCAAAACCTGTTCAGCTCAGCCCTCGGAATTCTAAGTTGTACATCGAAAACATCTCTTATTCTAGCTAAGTTATCATTCATGAAGAGATGTATGGGTAGCGCCTTCTGGTAAACAAATCTGAGTTCCATCTAACTCAATAATCTCTTATTCTGCACAAACAAAATCGGCTTAGGAATTTTGAGAGTAAACAATCATCGAACACGACTTTAATTTTCTGAAGCGCATATTTCACACGTTTTATTGTATAGGAGCTATTTCTAAACTCTAAAGCGGTGAGAACCACTGAACCAGGGAGGGGTCAATCATGAACTCAACCCATTCGGTACTCCATTGTTCTGCATGCTTCAATTTTATTTCAGTAGATGGTGTAGACTTTTGACTTTATAATTAAATAATTATTTTCTTTTTCGAAGAAAATAATAAACTAGTTTTGGGCCCATGTAAAAATCAAAAGTATTGTTATCAAAGATTTGAGAATCCGCAGTACGCCCTAGAATTTTTCTAGACGTAAATTGAATGGAAACCGTGTTTTTGGACTTGTCTTACACATGGTGGGACAAAAATAAATGGCTCTTGGAAAACTTCAATCTAATTAATTGAAATACTGAAATAAATTCCATTATTATTCGAAAGTTGAAACATGCATCGAATTTACTCCCACGCATTATGAAATGTTTCTCACTAGGGTTAAGTTATATGATATGAAATATCTGAAAAACTTTTGATCAATCAACTAGAATAAAAAACGTGATAGCCAATCACCTGTTATTTATCAAAATTGGTTTTGATTGATCAAAACTCTCTGTATCATAGATTTTCCCTTTTCACAAACAGCTAAAGTTTTTTCTCTCTCTCCTAATAAGTTCAATTTAAATCATGTTGACGTACGCCGAGGTCTTCTCTCTCTCTCTTTGATGGTCTTTTAGTTCGGTTAGTCTTTGCCTCTTTGCTATTCTCAGATCAAACTTCCATGCTCGAAGACTCTGAACCAGTTGAGGCCCAAGTCTTGTTTGTCTTACAGCTGCTAGCCTTCTCATCACTTGTCTATAGTAGTGCTAACCTGTGTTGATTTTCTTGCTTTCTAAATCTACAACTCGCTTCCTCTCTCCCTCGGCCGCCCTTGCTTGGTACTTCTGGATCTTCATCGTTTTCCTTGTGCTTCTTCTTCAATCAGAACAGAACAGATAGAGAGAGAGTCTATAAATATGAATTCCAATAATATTGAAGGCGGCTTTGTCCTACTTTCATTTGTTGTCTACTGCAATTTCTTTTTATAATTTTAAATAATCCTTTATCTCTGTTGTAGTTATATAAAGAAATTAAAAGGATTTTTTTACGATATCGCTATGCAAACGACAATGGGTAGCAGCAGATCTCTAGTCCTCTTGTATTTGTTTATTTCCTTATTGCTGAGTATTCGTAGTGTAATAATCCATGGTACCGAGACTGATATTTACTGCTTGAGAACCCTAAAAGCTTCACTAGAAGACCCCTTCGGCTACTTAAACACTTCATGGAATTTCGCCAACAAAACAGAAGGATTCATATGTAAATTTACTGGGATCGATTGTTGGCACCCCGACGAGAGTAAGGTCCTAAACATCCGCCTCTCAGACATGGGACTCAAAGGCCAGTTCCCCAAGGGTATTGAGAACTGCACTAGCTTGACAGGTTTAGATCTTTCCAGCAACAATCTCTCTGGACCCGTTCCATTGGATATCTCTAAAAGGCTCCCTTTTGTAACCACCCTTGATCTCTCCTCAAACGATTTCAGTGGTCCGATCCCAGCAAGTCTTGCGAACTGTTCCTATTTGGCCTCAGTTAAACTCGACAACAACCAATTAACAGGGAGTATCCCGATTGAATTCAGTGGGCTCAATCGGCTCAAGACATTTAGTGTCTCCAACAATCGCTTATCCGGACGTATCCCTCACTTTTCTAGCGCCAATGCTACTATTTCAGCAGATAACTTTGCGAATAATCTGGGACTCTGTGGACCTCCTTTGGATAATGAATGCATTGGAGCTCCTAAGAAATCACATGGTGCAGTTATCATCGGATCGGCAGTTGCTGGAGTGGTTGTTACACTTTTAGTCGTTTCTGTTGTCGTCTTCTTGTTGCTTAAACTACCAATAATCAGCGGTAGTAAACAAGACATCAAGAGAAACAGATGGGCAAAGGCCCCTCTAAAGATGTTGTCATTTCTCATTTTTCTTTTGTCTGGTATTATTTTCGCAAGTTTGGAAGCTAGGAAGAAGTTTGGTCCTACCTTCATGAGCGGATATATGGTTGGCTGGGGAATGAGCATGCCTCCATCTATAGCTTTTCTTTCCATTTATTCTCGCTGGATGTCTAAGAGGAAGCAACAACATCAGAAAAACAAGCAACAAAATATAACGGGTGGAACCATGAACATCACCAAGGTAGTTCTCTCTCTTTCTCTGTTTCACAATCACTTAGAAACGCGTTCCGATTTCCTTGATTATCTCTTCCTAACTGTTTGATTTTGTTCAAAAATCATCTTTTTTTTTTTTCTTGTTTCCCTTACAATAACAAAGGTTATATCATTCACAGACCTCTCTGTCGGAGGAAGTAGTCACCGAAATTAGTCTTGGCGAACTCATGAAGCTCACCAACAATTTCAACCAAGCCAACATCATCGGTTCAGGGAGGACAGGGACCATATACAAGGCCAAGCTCCAAGATGGAACTCTGCTTGCAATTAAGCGGTTCCAGGATTCTGAACATGTTGAGAGACAATTCAAATCCGAGCTTATGATTCTAGGCAAAGTGAAACACCGCAACCTGGTCCCACTTTTGGGCTTCTGCAGTGCTGAAGAGCAGCTCTTGATCTATAAATACACGCCCAACGGGAACCTCTACGATTTACTCCATCCTGAGGAAGCCAATGGCAAGGCCATAGAGTGGCCTCAGAGACTTAGAATTGGAATTGGGCTGGCAAGAGGCCTGGCGTGGCTGCACTATAACTGTGACAATCGCATTGTCCATCGCAACATAAGCTCCAAATCCATTCTGTTGGATGAGAACTTCGAACCCAAGTTATCAAATTTTGGATTCGCCACGCTTCTCAACTTGGATGAGTCCCATATGAGTAGTACTACCTTCATGACATGTGAAGCGGACATGGATTATGTTGCTGCTGAGTATATACAGACACCAGTGCCAGCCCTGAAAAGGGATGTCTATAACTTTGGAGTTGTGCTTCTGGAGCTTCTCACAGGAGAGAAACCAACCCATGTGACAAAAGTTTCAGAGAGCTTCAATGGTGGTTTAGTCGAGTGGATCGCCCATCTTTTAGATAGAAACTCAAGTCCCTTCTGTGCCATAGACAAATGCTTAATTGGAAAGGGATTTGATGGAGAAATCATTCAGTCTCTTAGAATTGCTTGTAACTGTGTTCTGTCTTCACCGAAAGAAAGGCCAAAGATGTTTGTAGTTTATCAAACTCTAAAGGCTGTTGGGCAGAGATACGACTTCACAGATCAAGATGATCTCTTGATTTGAATATGTCAAGGCTACCTTTTTGCTTCTGTCACCAGAAGATGATCTCTTGATACGACTTCACAGATCAAGATGTAATTTTATGCCATTTGACTCTGTCACCAGAAGATGATTATCTCCAGGCTACCTTTTTGCTTCCCCCAAGTGGGCTTCCCCCACACTAGTTCTTCGTGTACTAGGAAAATTACTTGTTTTTTTTAGTTCATGGAAATTCCCTTTTTTTCCATAGAATGATTTTGGTCCGTGGAATTTAGGGAGGATTTTTCGTATTGAAACTTCAAATTAGGAGATCTTGCAGGGACCTCAAGCAAATCCCCTGTTTTCTTATTAAGAATGATAGATGTTTCACGGCCAAGTTGTTTATTTTCTTCTTCTTGGGTCTTTGTTGTGATTTCTTTTGATTGTGTACTTTACTGGATAAATTTCTCGAACTGATTTCACAATTTAGACCAACGTCACATCATAGAAAGTGGAAATTCTCGTGTGACCATTCAGGCATCCATATATGGGAATGTAAATTGGGACTCAATTCGTTTGTGGTTAAGAAGGCTCACTCCATAACTTAATGATACAATAATTAACTAAATTACTTAATTTACCAATCTAAAGTGGGCATGGCATTATTCAATTCAACCACTGAAATTCTAATTTTGAATCCAATTTGAGATCAATATTTTGGTTCAATAATCAAAATTTATGTTTAAACTAAATGTTTAGTTTAATGATTTAAAATTATTGTTTTATAATATAAGAACATGGATCAGACTTAAATCCAAATCCATTTCATTTTGGTAATATAAAAAATGTAATTTTAAAATATAAGAACTTGGATCATATTTGTATTTTATCAGATTCTGGTTTAATCCAACTTCATTTCTTAAACAAATAAAAATTTAAAATTTAAAATATAATTATTTTTCTATTAGAATTTACTTTTTATGTTAACATAAAAGTAATAATTGGCGCTCAAGCCAATGTTGAGCAATCTGTATTCCTTATGTAATTTAAAATATAATTAATTTTATATTTAGTATTTATTTGTGTATATTAATATAAAAGTAACAACTGGCCCTACAAGCCCGTGTTGAGCAATCCATATTCCTTATGTAACTTGATTTATTATAATAATTTATAAAAAAAGAAATGAAATAGCTGGGTTGCGCTTTAGTTGGATTTGGTCTTGGTTATTAATTTGGATTAGTTAAATGCTTTAGTTGTTTAGGGGGAATTAATGATGAAGTTCTATGCCAGTAATAAATTCATAGGCTCCATAGTAAAAAATGTGGGCTCCATGTATTTAAATATAGGCGTAGAAAAAAACTTTAGCTGTTGGGGGCCAACCTCCTATGCTGTTTAGAGAATTTCTAAGAATGCCACGTTACCCTGAGAATGGGTAAATTAGTAATTACATTTTAATTTACTTTTACTAAAATCCAAAGCATGAGCGTGAATAGATGAACTGCCCAGAACGTGGTCAGCCCAAAAACTGTCTCAACAGCCTAGGGCTGTTGGGCCCCAACAGCCAAAATTAACCCTAGGCGTTGAACCTTATCATCGGTTTTACAGCCCACTAAAACGTTCAGGTAAACCTTGCTCCTTGGTCATGGGCTTGGGGTGATGTTGGCAGTTTAGATTTGGGTTTGATGGATAGGGCACAAGTTGGTTTCTTAATAGTGTGTGTAGTAGTGATGATTGATTATGATGGGTCCAGTGACCCATCTGCAATGATGCTTTTTACCTGAAATACTTAATTTTTTGAAATATATATTTTTTATGTATTTTTTATTAAATTCTTGATTTTTTGACTGAAATATATATTTTCTAATTTTTTTATCATTTTATGTGTTTTGTGCAATTGTTATCATTTAACGTATTTTCTACAACTTTTACTTCTTTTGGTTATATATAATAAATTTTTATCATTTTCTGTATTTTTTGGCATTAGTTGAAATATATATGTTTGTAAATTTTGTATAATTTCATTTGTCCTCTGTAAATTTTGAGATTTTAGTTAAAATATGTTTTTTTTTTTAATTTTTGTAATTTTTATTTTGTTTTTGATTGAACCATTTTGCAAATTTTTAGGGCAAATTATGGACTGCTCCAACTTCCAAATTTGTCATTGACGCCCAGTTTTTCATATTCTGAACAGATTGCTTCCTCTACCTTGCTAGGCATTTTTTGGACCTTTTAATTGCGCATCTTAATAACAGAGGGTCTATGAATATGAATTTCAAAATATGCTTTCCCCCAGTTTAATTTGTTTTAATTTTTAGTTTTAAATCCTTTTATCGTTGCGCAAATGACAATGAGTAGCAGCAGAGCGCCGGTCCTGGTGTATTTATTTATCTGCTTGTTGCCAAAGTGTAATCCATGGTACTGAAACTGATGTTTTGTGCTTGAAAAAACTAAAAGAGTCAATGGAAGACCCCTTTGGCCACTTAAATTCTGCATGGAAATTCTCCAAACATACAGAAGGGTTTATATGTAGATTTATTGGAATCGATTGCTGTCACCCCGACGAGAGCAGTCTTAACTCTCAGACATGGGACTTAAAAGGCCAGTTCCCCAAGGGTATTGAGTCAGTTACGGTTCTGCTATAAGATGTATTTATAATTACCCTCATTTACTCAATACAATTTTCGATGAGATCCTTGCTCTTGAGACGAGTTCTTTGCTCTGTTTCCACTGTATTTTTACATGGTATCAGAGCCTGTAATTTCTTTCGCTGCTGCCTTTCGCCTCTGAAGCAGTCTGTGATTCCTCTCATCACTGAATTCCTTTTTCTTGCTGCTTCCGCTGCAACCATGAAGTCAACACCGGTAATGACATCAACAACAGTGACGGCCATGGAATCCGATCCAGCATCTCCTTACTACCTATACACATCCGATAATCCAAGGAACATTCTTCTATCTTTTCCTTTGACCGGAGACAATTACCCGATACGGCAACGGACCTTGTGAAATGCACTAAGAGCAAAGAATAAATACCGGTTTGTGGATGGATCTTTATCGCGTCCACCAAGATCATCACTAGACGAGAATGTTTGGGTTAAAAGTAATTAAATGGTGTTTTCTTGGTTGTTTAAATCTCTGGCCAAGGAACTCCATGAGAGCATAGCCTTCATTGACTCGGCTTCGGAGATCCGAAGAGAGTTAAAAGAAAGATTTGTGTAGAGCAACGTCCCACAGCTCCAACGACGTGGTGATGCTACAACAAGAAGACCTAACCGTAGCAAGGTATTTTACAAAACTCAAAGGGCTGTGGGATGAACTCGGAAGTGACGCAACGTGACGCACTCGACCAGGTTAACTATACAAGTACCCGGACGATTGAGCCGGCTTCGGACTTGAAGTCTCGCAAAAGAACTAGGCGTAGAGCCTTAGAATAGAGATAAGTGAATAAAGAAATTATGTGTGTTATTAAAGCTCATAAACAGGAGTATTTATAATAGATATTGGTAAACTTCGTAGAGTAAAATAATTAAGTAATTCAGACTTGTAAAACAAGAAGGAAATGTGACTTGTCATCCGATGTCAATGCCTTCGATGCCCACAGCCTGATGTCCACCCTCATCCAAGGTCGGTTGGCATAAGGAGTATGTCCTTCTAATCTTGAGCTGGCGCCGGTTGGTTCGGTGGGTCCCGCGTTGGCCCTCCATCATTCTTCCCCACTTGGAAAGAACTCGACCTCGAATCATGATCAGGATAGGCAAGCGTTGCTTCCGGCAAATAACGATGAAGATCAGCAACATTAAATGTTTTGGAAATACCCATGTGATCCAGCAAGTCCACTACGTAAGCGTTGTCATTGATCTTCTTAATGATCCTGTATGGGCCGCACTTCCGAGGTTGTAGCTTGCTATGTTTCCCCACGGGTATGCGTTCCTTCCTTAAGAACACCATGACTTCATCACCGACGTCAAACACTTGGTGCCTGCGATGCCTATCAGCTGCAACCTTATACTTTGCATTGGTTCTTTCTAGTCTCTGTTGTAATTCTTCCTGTACTGACTAGATCTGTTCTGCGAGCTGCTCTGCAGAAGTGTTAAGGCCGTGTACTCTAGGTAGCTTCACTAAGTCCAACGCATGGTTAGGTACCTTCATGTAAACAATTGAAAACGGGGATCTACCTATAGAGCTATGAACTGCGTTGTTGTAGGCGAACTCTGCCTGTGCTATAGAAAAATCCCACTGCTTCGGTCTCTCCTTGCAGATACTGCGGATCAAGTTACCTACGGTTTGATTCACCACCTCTATCTGTCCATCTATCTGTGGATGAGCTGTACTACTGAAATTTAATGATGAGTCAAACAGTTTCCACAAGGTCATCCAGAAGTGACTTAAGAACCTCGTATCTCGGACCGATGTGATGGTCTTAGGTACCCCATGTAAACGGACAATCTCTCTGAAAAATAACTTGGTTGTCGCTGTTGCATCTGTGGTCTTCTTGCATGGGAGGAAGTGAGCCATCTTGGAGAACCGGTCAACCACTACGAAGACGAAGTCCATATTTCTTGGAGTCTTTGGCACGCCTAACACGAAATCCATGGACAAGTCTTCCCAAATCGCAGTAGGAACAAGTAGAGGCATGTAGAGGCCAGTATTCTGGGTTTGTCCCTTAGCTGTCTGACATATATAGCATCTCCTCACAATAGTGGTCACATCTCTCCTTAATTTAGACCAGTAGAAACGCCCCTTGACAGCCTCAATCGTCTTGTCACTCCCGAGGTGTCCTGCTAAGCCTCTCCCATGTAGATCCCTGATGATCTTCTCGCGTATAGAGATGCAAGGAATGCACAGTTGGTCCCCCTTCATAAGGAACCCATCATGTATGTAGAAATCACCTAGTGGTTGTCGATTCATGCACTTTTCCCAAACCTGTTTGAAGTTTTCATCTTGGGCGTACAGATCTCTCAAGCATTCAAAGCCCACAATTTCAATACTGAGAGTCTTGATGAGGGCTACAGGCCTACTTAGAGCATCAACCACTATGTTCTGTTGTCCATCCTTATACACAATTTTGTATGGGAATTTATCAATAAAAGCAGACCACCTTGCATGCAGATCGCTCCTCAACTGTTTTTGCTTACTTAAATACTTAAGAGCTTGATGGTTAGTGTAAAGGACAAATTCTTTAGCAATTAAGTAATGTTCCCAGGTTTTTAATGCTCTAACAACAGCATAAAATTCTTTTTCATAAGTGGACCACTTCTTCTTGGCTTCGCATAGATTTTCACTAAAGAAAGCAACTGGTCTCTTTTCTTGTGACAACACAGCCCCTATGCCGACTCCACTGGCATCACACTTAACTTCAAATAGTTTATCAAAACTGGGTAGTGCTAAGACAGGA